CAGTCGGTGGACGCTGCATTCTAGTCGGTGGACGCAGCATTCTAGTCGGTAGACGCTGCATTCTAATCGATGGATACTGCATTTCAGTCGGTGGACGCTGCATTCTAGTCGGTGGACGCTGCATTCTAGTCGGTGGACGCTGCATTCCAGTCGGTGGACGCTGGATTCCAGTCGGTGGACGCTGCATTCCAGTCGGTGGACGCTGCATTCCAGTTGGTGGATGCTGCATTCTAGTCGGTGGATGCTGTATTTCAGTTAGTGGATGCTGTATTCCAGTCGGTGGATGCTGCATTCCAGTCGATAGATGCTGCATTTCAATCGGTGAATGCTGCATTTCAGTCGGTGAATGCTGCATTTCAGTCGGCATGTGTATTTGCGATTCATGAGTCGGCGAAACGCTCAACTTTGGGAAATTGATGATCGGTTTCAACTTCAAGGTCGAAGGTTTGTTCGGCGTTGCAGGCAGTCGACGACCCCGTCCCCGTCTGGTTGCCAACACCGGATAACTATGTTGGTAGGGATGTCGATGATCGTATTGATGCAAGTGGACAAGCTGGTAAGTACCGACTGGACTCGGGCTTCTTGATCGTTCCTCCAAACTGGTCGTTCCGTAATGCTGGGGTCGATCGTGGCGAATAGGGCTCGGTGTTCTCACTGGGCTGGTCAAAGTGCTCCACGGACCTGACGAATATAGTTATTAGCGTTCGCGTTTCAAGTCTCTCGCTACGCAATGGCTATTTTCTAGCTTTTCTGGGAGATCATGCGGTAAACCGGGACTCGAGGACTATTCGAGGGAATGGTTGGTACTCGAGGGAAAGTTTCCTGTGACCTGAGCGTTGTTCGCGTGTTTTTAGAGGAACTATAGTTATCGAGTCGTTGAAAGTAATGGAGGAAGTCTGAGTTGGTCTAATTGTTCGTTAAGCCATAATTTCTCACGCTATTCGAGGGGGGAGGGGCGTGGCGGACACTAGATACAAACAACTATAGAGTGTCTATGTTATGGGTGGACCAGAGTACAAGTGTTCACAATGTGCTAAAGTGCTCGATATCAAAAGCCTGTGTTATCTATTTCGTGCACAGTGTCTCGAACAAATCAGAAATGTCACAAGAAGTAATTGAAAAATATGCATAAACAATAGTCGAGAAGTTAGTTTCTTTAAAATATTACAAGTTTGAAAACGTTCTCGACGTATTTCATCGAAATTCGTGAAAGAAAGGAAGGAAGGAAGGAAAGAAGGAAGGGAAGAGAGAGAAAGAAGGAACAAGTGTTCATTATCGAATGTCTGTTTTGTGCGATACTGCGTTATACTAATAGACATACTAAGTTGCATATTAATCTGTATCTGTTTGTTGTGTCGATGAATAATGTAGGCGGAGAATGAACAATTTGGTGGAAGCCAAACGATAATAGGTGATAACAACAGGTGATGATAGTTGCTGATAATAATGATAGTAACGATGACAATACATTAGTAGCGATAACAATAACAACAACGATAACAACATCAATAGTAATAATAATAGTAATAGTAATAATAATAATAATGATAATGGTAATAATTATAATAATGGTAATAATAATAATGATAACAATGATAACAATGATAATAATGATAATAATGATAATAATAATAATAATGGTAGTAGTAGTAATAGTAGTAGTAGTAGTAGTAGTAATAGTTATAATAATGAAATAGCTTCGGAACAGGGAATGAAACGGAGTTGTGAAAGAAATTACCGTCGTAATAGTCGCAGTGGTCGTAATAGTCTTTGTAGGCGCATAACAGAACAAACGAAAAAACGTATTACATTGTGATATAGAGCTTTTGCCTCTTGTGAATAAACGACTTATAGCGACATTCATATTTTTTTTTTTTCTAAATCGTAACTACGAATCTCTCGTCCGGCCCCAAGGCTCCGATATCGAATAAAAGTCGGAGTGAATTCGTTCGCGTGGCTGTACGATCGTTTTCATCTTTCACGATCCGTGAATACGTTCGAAAAAGAGATTCGTAGGTTGGATTTCGTAAAAAGGACTTATCGTTGCACCGTGTTTTCTTTGACGGAATTATCATTGCTGTCTTATACCTCGCATTCTGTGCCGATGATCGTACTGTGACGGATGGGGATGATGCGTGTGTCTCTGAATCTCAACGACGTTGCTAACCGTGTCGCTAAACCCTGGTCCATCGTGATGACCGTGAGGCTCGTATCCAGATCGTCCTGAGTCCATCCTGGTGAGTCGTCTCCTGAAAATGATAATTAACTGATATGTAGTGTATACAAACTATACTTTCTAGTTTTTCTTTTTTTTTATTATAGATTTCTTATTTCATCTGCATCGTAGCATAAAATTAAATATAAAGCAACACATCAAAATAACGTGAAACAACATCGTAGCATAGATAAGGTGATAAATTTGTCAAAGTTTTCTGATAAATATAATGACGTCCCTGTGTAGTGAAACATCTTATTGTTACCTTAAAGTCGATGAATGCGGTAGCTGTTTAGCTGATTGTACGGGTACGTAAAGTCTTTTGGTGGTGTGGGTAAGACTCTCGGTACTATCGGCACGCGACTCGGTAACTACGACGTCCTGAAGTTCCATCTAAACGAACAAATTCGTCGATTAGAAAGCCATCCGAAGAATTGGAATAAATCAGGAGTTTAAGGAGAGTCGGGGTGTTGTCGGTTCTTTGCCTTTGTTACTAACGATTCGCGCCTCGAACAAACATCTTTTTCGACTGGAGATGCCTTTTGCCTCCGGAACGCGAATCTCTGTGCGAGTCTCCGGATCGAGAACATCAATTAAAGATCAATAATATACGTGTGTGCCTCGACAGCTTTTTCATACACGTGCACGTAATATTCGAAACACGCGATAAAGATTCGCGCAGAAATTCGTCGCAGTTTGTGCTACGATAACTTTATTTTGCTTTGTCTCGAGAAACGACAGACAATTTTGAAGATCAGAGAAGCAGTCAATGAAGAGGAACAGAAAAGTCGATATACAGGCATATGAACGCGCGTGTAAGAGCATGCAAGTTTAAAATTTTGGGCATGCACATGCTTTGCTGATTCACTTTTGTTTGGAGCGGTTCAGGTGAAAGAAGAAGAAAAACGAGTTGTGTCTCCGCTACTATTCCGACGAGTCGTCGCTCGTTCCAAAGGTGTTTCTTACTTACCGGAGTGGATACACATGGAATTATAACGAACAACACGGAGATGCACGGAGAACGAGGCAATCGTTGTCGAACGCACGAGTGCTTCGTTACTCTCGAGAATAATCTCAAGGCTGAAAGCAGCTAGGGATAAGGGTGGGGTTCTCTAAATGTTCACGTTGAACTTCCGCTAAAAAAAAAACGTTCGTTTCGTTTCTTTGTATTTACAACTGTGCTAAGGTGTGCCGTTCAAGATCGATTCGATTGCGATTTTCATAACATTATGATCGACAAATGTGAACTCTACAGTGAATATACAGGATGGACGTTGTTAGATCGTCGATCGATCTTGATCTTTGCTGAGTCGCGGTCACGATGTCTAGCGATTCGTTTTCGTCGGTGTTTCGAACAACCGTATGCGGTTTAAACAGCGTTGTGTGATCAATCTTGCGAACGCGAGTGTATCTACCATCTAATCATCTAACAATAAGATCTATCGCGATCTAAAGGTGTACTCAAGTCCGTCTATAAGGAATTTCTTTGATTACTCGCGAACTAGACTAAAGGTGTTGTTGCTTCTTCGTTATCTAAATAATAATAAGAAGCCGCGTAACTACAACACCGTCGTGTGTAACTAATTCCACGAGAAAAAAATATATATACGACGTATCCCGTTCTAACGATAATCGAAATCTAAGTCTAAGAAAGCGTAAAGTCACACATTGAAGTCTATGTACAATCGGTCGATACGATCGACTAATGACAACACGAAGATCTATAGATCCCGATTGGAGCGAAGTATCCTCGATCTACCGCGATCTAGACACGTGTCTCGAGGTGACAATCGAACGAAGTACAGCAAGTGGAAATCGTTTAGCTCGTGAGCATGCTGAACCCAACACGAGCCAAGTAAATTCGTTCTGTATCGCAACCGATCGAGGGAGATTTCATCAGAATCGAGATTAATTTGAAATCGAGGAGGATTTTAATTGAATCGAGCCGAAAGACCTTGTGGTAACGGATCGAGGAGCGAGGTGCGTAGGTATTCTGGTGTTGATAGTACGAGGGTGGTCGGTGAGCATGATGATGATGGTGATGGTGATGGTGGTGGTGGTGGTGGTGATGGTCATAGTATAGATCATTGTCGGTATCGTAGTATTGGTCGTGATGGTGATGGTGGTAGTAGTTTTGATCCTGCTGGGAGGGCACCTCAGCCAGCAATGGCTCTAGCTCGGGGGCGCGATCCTCATCATTAACTACGGGTACAACCCCAGACCCACCCCATCCCTGGCTACTCTCTCCGCTGCTGCCTAGTATATCGTATTGGTGGGACATCTTCCAGTTCACCTTTTTATTTCTGAAATTATACCAGAAAAAAAAAAGAAAACAAGAAAATCATTATTACGAACACGAACGTTGAACGGTGAACGTTGTTTTAGGACACACCGAATTTCTCGTTTTCATTCATTTGAAAAATCATGAGTACAGTTTATTTAGACGTACATATTTCACGACATTTATGGCAAATACAGTACTCGTACAATGCTCGTTACGATATTTAAATTATTTATATACTATTTTTTTGCTATTGATGATGATGATAAAAATTTAAATTTACATAAGCATTTACGGTTTGCTCACGACTTTTGCATCATTAAAAAAAAAAAGAAAAGAAAGAAAAAAATTAGAAATTCGGTGTGCCAGAAACGAAGTTCAACCTGGAATCATTGGGATCAAGATTTTATTACGCGATATCGACACTCGATATCCGATTAAAATTAAAACGGAAACGAACCTGATGCTACGTTGACGTCTATGCTCGTGGTCGTCCTCCTTGCGCTGATCGAGCTTCGTTTCCGACAGTGGTTGTTCAAGGCTGCTCCTACTTTCGGCTGGGTGATCTACTCCTGTCATGTCCAGTATGCAGTTGAGGAAGGCCGATTGCTAAAGTCGTGCGAAACCATACCGACTATCAG